AGAGCCAATATGCCACAACATAAACAACGGTATCTGCAGAATGTAATGACTTACCTCTGCGAATTGTAACATGATACTGTTTTTAATATTATATAGATATTTATGACACCTTTTTTAAGTCTTTGTTTCTATACTTTACTTTACTTTACTTATTGCATTCTGTCAATCCATATAAGGTCAAACCAACCTACTGGATATAGAATCTGTCATGTTTAAACATAAAATAATAAAATATACATTCATAACCATGTTTGAACATAAGATAATAAAATATACATTCCTAACCCATACAAGGACAAATGAAAACACTAAGAACCACTATAAATTAGTGCAGTCCTATATAGTAATACAAACACTGATACAGTTGTAGTAGATACATAAGCTGTGTAATTATATTATCCGTAGGAGAGACAATCACGACAAAGTGTTCATTGAAAAGTTGATTTATAATATTCATCAATACTACAAAAAGCATGTTCAGTGAGATAGCTTTTTAATAACAATTTGAATTCTTTAATATCTTTGGATAGCAATTTAATGTTTGAGGGTAAGTGAATTGTAAACTTCCTTTTACTTCTCAATGTATGTTATCTTGTTCTCATGAGACCAAGGTGTGTCAGGTTAATAATATCCAAGTATATCTGTTTAGTAGTTTTCATATCTGACTGTAAGTTACTGGTTTCATACATTTTCAAGGGAAAGTAGTAGAAGTTAAGATGAAAAGTTACTTGGAAACACCACTGGGTTATCTTACATAATATTTCAGGATATTTTAATAAATATAAACCTTCCTTGGAAAAGTCATCTTGAGACAAGTCACCATTTATTACAAACACATATACATACAACTATTCATACATTTTGTTGTTAAATGCATGAGAAGAGCAAACGTTTTAAATTTGGCACATTAAATTCTTAAAAATGATGGACACATTGTAGAATCTCCCACTTTCATACGGTAACAAAATACTGTCCACTTTCATGGAAGACCTTACTGAAAGAGATTGTTTCAATAATTGTCATTTACTGTGTTTGTATGTTAGGTTCATAGATCTGAATTTGTTTTTTGAAGCATCCAGTAGAGCAGTATAAGGATAATATAAAAAGTTGGCACATAGATTCACAGAAAATAAAAGTTGTTCTATTGTACATGGCATTAACTGATATTTACAAATATTGTACTGTTTCTGAAATATACAAAATGCAATGCATTGTGTTTAATATTGTCCAAAGTTGTACTTGGGCTACCACATTAGTTATAAGCTTACACTTTGTTTTTCTTTGTCTGATACTGAGCTCACAGTTCCTACATTGCAAGTCACTCCAATAGTTCAGTCCAAATGTGTAGCAAACAAAAAGGTTCTGAAAACTGGTTATATATCAGAAATTGTAAAGTACATTTCTTATACTCTCTTTGAACCAAGCATTAAATAAATTATATGTGAACTACTGTATCTTTGGTCTGGTTCTAAAGGATCAAATTACAATTCACAATTAAGTTCTAATATGGTGCACTTTTCCTGTAACAGAGAGTGAATTTTTTACTCACTTTCTCTTTAATTGTACTGCTGTACTCATGTCTGCATGCTATAGGACAGAAAAAAGAAAGTCACTTAAAATTAACAAAACCACGTTAAAATCTGAGAATCCAATCTAATGTGCTTTTCACTTTTTTATTCTGTCTTCAAAGTACCAAAGATCAAAACTTTACACAGATTGGTATCCTCTTTAAGATATCCCATGTTGTCTATTGAAGTAACTTGCTCTGTGAATTTGAATGAAAAATTAAGTGTATTTTATTTGAAATTAGTATTTATTTTATGTGGCCTCAGATACAGACCTCAGACTTCCTTGTAAACACCGCAGCATTTTATTTACTTTTTTCTTTGATCCATTATGTTACATGGCAATTTTGGACATGGCCAGTGTAACTTACACCCTGTTAGAATGTGAAATGTTCAGTGAAAAATCATATGTCACTCCAGTGTGACAGATTCATTATTGAAAATGGAAGGTATGAAAGCAACAAACTATATGCTTCTATTATTGGCAGGATATAATACAAAGATGTATTGAGTGTAGACCACTAGATATCAACTCGGTAACTCGGTTTGTGATGGACATCATCCATATGTAGGCTTTCAGCTCTGCAATTTTTTGTCAATTGTATCTGGTGGAGATCACTTTCAGTTCTCCTGCACAATTTGAAATGCAGTACAGCTACCAGATGGATACTTTCACTTAAAACCACTGTCTGATCGTCAGTTTATTACACACAGCTAGCACTTGCATAAGGAAACCATTTGTGAACTGATCACTAAAAAGATAAATACATGAGGTAGGCTGTTTTCAAATTTATTCTCATGGCATCCTGACATTTCTGACACTGACAGACACTGCTGTATATTATTTTCTATAAATTATAATACTGAAGCCACAGAAAGAAGTCCCATGGATTGATTCCCTCTAAATCTTCCTTGAACTGTTACATCTCCTCTTTCAGCGTACTTTCATATATTCCCTTAGTGAAAACTGCATGATAACCTTTGCTCACAATAAGCACTACTGACAGGCCAGAGAAGGCTGGCAGGGAATACAAAGGCAGAAAGGTGAAAGCCTCTAGTGCTGTCATCCTGACAGTATATGGGACTTCTTTCCATAGTCTCAGTATAGCCATGTATCCAGTGTCCACTAGTCATGTTAACCAGACCAGACATAAACAGACCCAGAACTAGGATTATTAAGTGGAAGGCACAGTTGTCCCTCTGTACAGAAAACATGAAACATGGAGATAAAGCCCCAGGATGAGGTTCAGTTGTCAGGTTGATGCTCTTCTTTCTGTGCCCCTTCTAGGGAAATAGCAACCTAGTAACATTGGATGGGTTGGGTGTATCACACAGCTGCTATGGATGTAATTCAACTATAAGAAATTTTCCAGTTCTTGGATGATCTCAGAATGCCCTTTGCGAGTATGTTCATTCTCCAGTGAATAACTCCCAAATCTCAATTATTTTGTAGCATTGCAATGATAATGATGTCGATAAAACAAATAAATCACAGTGCTCTATAAAATTAAGTTTAATGAAAGCATAAAGCAGCTTTGTACCTTATGTATTTAACTGATAGTTACCAGGAGTGGTCAGAAAATAAGTTTACAAGGTGTATAATCTCACAACCAGAGGACCTACTTTATTGTGGGCATTTCAGAGAAGTTTCTTAATAAATATTGGTAACACTATATATCAATTCACTTGCCATCTAAGGCTTATTATGTTTAAAATGTTGAACAGGGCTACTCAATGCGCTGTGGTCCATGAAAAGTACGTGGGTATCTACTCACAGAGAGCACAAAAACAAAACCTATGATGTGTCTCAATTTTTGTGGAGACTACGTTGAAAAGTAGTGGGATGACAGTAGAATTATCTTGTATTTTACATGATGGGGAATGTATTAAAAAACCTCAAACTATACATCTTGTACACCTGCTTTCTGACTGAAACCTTGTACTTGAATTTATTGAACACTTAAGATGAACATATCTTGTGCAGTCAGATATTGTGCTACTATATTTTGGCAACTGTGTCCACACTACAGGAAAATATTTTCTTCTCTTACATATAAATTGAACTTAGCACTGCTGTGAAATTGTCCACAACAAAGGTCAATATTCCAAAGTACAACTGAGCCTATAAAATATGCACAAAAATTTTTTAACTCCATGAAATGTGTGGTGACTTTGAGATGAAAGTGATCCTTATATTTACACCACATGCGAATTTGAATAACCTCTGAAGTAACCTTCATGTCATTCATAACATCCACAGAAATATAACAGTTCTGAGTTAACTCCCTAGTTTTGGTATTACAAATAAATTCCCCCGGTTTTGGGTGTTAACAGCTGACTATACCAGGTTGAAACACACAAGCACACATGGTTCCAATTCCTGGCACAAGACTAGCAGAGAAAAATATTAAATAAAAACCGTGTATATCATAGTCTCATAAGATCTGCATCATTACTGTATAGGATATCAATTTTTATACACACACGACATACATCCTGTCAATATACATTTTGTACAGTTCTTGATTATTTTTGTATATACATCTTTGGTATGATGTCATTATCACTTCCTTTCTCTCAGAAGCATATCACAGTGCACTGAACACTCATCTGTGTTCTTGCTTTCTTCTCATTATCTATGAATTTTTTACTCTACACTAAAATTTTAAACAATTTACTGGCCATAACGTGGAAACTAGGCCCACATGACAAACACTTTAATCTTGTTACTGTTTCATAGTAACAGAATTTGAAAGAGTGGCAGTGTTTATTTATTTTCCTTATACAGCAATACTTAGTACAGATTTCTGTACACTGACAGACAGTGGAAAACCAGGCACTAAGTATGTTGTGGCAGTGAGTCAACTTCTATTCATTCTATTGTTAGTAAAAACCTGAAAACATTGTAACATGATTAAGAAGATACAGTTCATACAGTTACCCTTAGAATACATATGAGTACTCTTGTGGGTCTGAAATGAGACAGTACAAATGTTGTTCAAAAGCGTTTAAGTCTTCAGTGAAATGACAAGAGATTCCTTTTGCCTTCAGATCACAAAATCAGTCACTAGAATACGACTCCATGTACTTACTCTCTTATGGGGCACGTGGCAGCATATGTGGTTGATGCACTATGCTACAAGCCAGAAGGTCGTGGTTTCAATTCCTGATGAGGTCATTGGATTCTTCAATGGACCTACTACTTCCAGTCTCACAACAGCCCTGGAGACAACTCATCCTCTAACAGAAATGAGCACCAGGAAACTTCCTGGGAGTGAAGGATGGCAAGCACATAAGAATAACAACCTCACTGCCACTGTGAGCAGATTGTCTGGAAAATGTGGGAGCCTCAACGTCTCACAACCCTATGAGCCTCCACAGTCTGTTTCAGGGATAGCTTTACCTTACCTTTTATGGAGGTATATGGTATACTCTCTTATAATGGAGGGTTTTGCTGTATAAGGTACACTGACCACAGCTAACAATCTGCTGGTAATACAATTGCTGCTTTCAGTACTGATATAACTAGAAATTTCAGAGTAAGATTTGAGCACTCAGTTGTTACTCAGATGTGCACTTGAGCATCGGTGGAATGTTTTCCTTTCTTTTCACTTTGCTGTGATGGACATTGGATGTGGCTATGAGAAGGCAAATCTGAGGCAGACTAGAACCACACCAAGGATAGAGTACACTGGTAATACACTTCCTGCAGAGCTGCGTACTGGAATGTGCACAACTGTGGCTGTTGTCAGAGAACTCAGACTAAGTTCACTAAGAATACGTGGACTTGCTCCCTGCACTAAGTTGGCAAGCTTCTCTGCTTCACGTTCACATGCCTCCATTTGCAGTTCTGAAGGTGGATTTCTTCCTACAGCTTGCACCAACACAAACAGGTCCATCTCAACCGTCAGATAACCATGAACCACACACTCTGCAACCTGCACTTGGCGCTCGAGAGCTTGCAACACTGCTCCTACAGTCAGAGCACTTACAGCATTCCCTCGCAAAGCATACAGTGCACGGTCCACTTGCTTCTGGCTGTAGAGTAAACGCAATGAGCCTCCACACACAGGACAGCATGCCCCAGGTGGGGTCACTCCCAGACACCCTGGACGGGCCAGAGGTAGACACTTTACTGCACTGTCACTACACTGTGGTCTTGCTTGATCTCCTATTGAACCCACAGCCATGCATGGGCCCCAATAATCAACACTCACTTGATTGGCATAGGCAGCACAGTCAGAGAGGTAGGTTTCCCCATCAATACCACACACTGGCCCATTGCCTTCACAATTAACCTGTAATACAAAATTGAAAGGAACAATGTTAGAAATGACTGTTATTGTACTGTGAGACTAAAGGCTGATTGGAAACGTAATGGAACAGTCTAAATCAACTTACTCTACTTTATCTCATGCTGTTAGTGTTGCATATTTACAAGTTTTGTTAAATGTAAATTAGCGGCCTCCGTAGTCTAGAGGTAACGTTCCCACCTCATGACTCATGGTACGCGGGTTCAAATACCCGGTGGAGGTTGTCGAATTTTTAAGGGCGGAAAAATTCAGGGAACAAGTCCTCCGGGAGGGACTTTAAGCCGTGTGTCCCGTGTCGTAGCTTTATGGCACGTAAAAGAACCTCATATCTCCAAAGGAGATCACTGAGCCAAATTCCAGGACGTTTCCTGCCCAACAGTAGTCTCTAAGGCCTCTGATAGAGGGGGGAAGCATTATAGACACCATCAAGCGAGGCTGAACTCGCTTGCTCGGCGGGACTGATAGTACGCACCATTATCGGTAGGGTATAGAGACTGGTAGAATATCATAGAGGGAAGCACAATGGACCAATACTGGTCTAAGTGCATGGGGAAACCCACCCTTTCCAATAACTAACTAATTAACTAAATATAAATCCAAACACGCAATAAATTAAACTAAAATTGTACTGCTCTGAGTAAACTTACTGACAGTACTGTAATGCTGTAATACAAAACGGTGCATACCTTTGAAATTTCATTACCAAGACCATTGGAAAGAAGCCATTATTTCATCTAATTTTCCATGAACCATTATTTGACACTACGGAATTTCCCATATTTATATGAAACAACAGTTACTACCTCAGCTGCCACAAGTTCACACTGACAGATTCATCCTGGGAACATTACATGCAATGGTCATGGCACCTGTTGGAAAATGACTACACTGTTTCTGAACCTACTGATGGTGTAAGCGTAATATCCAGTAACTTACAAGACAGGGTCCTGTATAGGCAAGCGTCTTTCGATAGCGAATCAAATAGCATATGTTGGGGTGCTCCTGACCATCAGTGTCACATACTGGATCATGAAGCATGTTTGTACAAGGTGTATTAATGTCCACTGAAACAGTAAACACAGCTAGGTGTAACTTTGACACAACACACAGGGTCTGACAGCAGACAGTCATGAAAAGAATAATGTAAAACCAGTGATAGCTGTCTGATTTGGTATACAAAATAATTGATACCAGAGCAGTAGAGTGAGAGCAGGTTCTCCAAAGGAGTTTGAGAGAATACAGGATTCATTTTAGATGACTACAAACTTTTAAGAAAATTCCTCAGCATTCAAGAACTATCAATGAAGTGATATTTTTGCAGACATATAACATAAATGGAATGGAGAAAGAAATAATACATTCATGTGTGTAGATTATGAACCTGTTTTAGAGGAATACCATATTTGAGACCACCTGTACATGTACATATTAGCTGAATGTAAGTTCCTTTTTGCAGAAAACTTCTAAATAGAGATTAAATTATGTACGAAGGGGGACCCAAAAATAACCGGAAACGACCTGTTGTGCGTGCATGCTTTGTAGTTACAAGTTGTGCTGCTAGGTGGTGTTAGCTGGGGGTCTCCCGCGACTGTTAGTGAGCTGGCGTCAGTCTGAGTTAAGTGGTTTGTCTGTGGTGCTCTGTTGTGTGCGTTCCTGTTTCAACCCTTTGGCGATTAGTGAGATGGCCGACCAGAAGGAACAAAGAGTGTGCGTGAAATTGATGAAGATCGTCGAAAGACCATTGACCAACTTTCTGAGGAAACGAACATCTCATGGAGCACGGTCCAGCGAATTTTAACCGAAGGTTTGCACATGAGACGGGTGTCTGCAAAATTTGTTCCTCGCTTGCTCGGAGATGACCAAAGAGAAAACCGCGTGAATGTTTGCCGCGACTTGAAGAGTGAAGTGCAGTTTTCCCTAACAGAAAGCAAAATTTCACGCACACTCTTTGTTCCTTCTGGTCGGCCATCTCACTAATCGCCAAAGGGTTGAAACAGGAACACACACAACAGAGCACCACAGACAAACCACTTAACTCAGACTGACGCCAGCTCACTAACAGTCGCGGGAGACCCCCAGCTAACACCACTTAGCAGCACAACTCGTAACTACTAAGCATGCGCGCGCAACAGGTTGTTTCCGGTTATTTTTGGGTCCCCCCTCGTATGAGCTATTTACTCTATGTTATCGGTAAAACGTATTATGGGTGAGTACAGCAGCAAAAGAAAAAGAACATAAACACTTGCTCTGTAACATCAGGATAATCAATACTCAGTTGACTCATACAGCTGATTATAAACATGTCTGAAAACTTCCATGTGTGATCCCTGTGACACAGTCCGCAAAACCATGTGAACCTCCAATGCATCCTTGAAATCCCTGGCCCTTCATTCATGGAAAGATATAAAAATTGCATGGTGCAAGATTGGAAGGCTACAGCAGATATGGAAGTATTGATGTGCCACGCGAACCCCAGTCTTGGCTACCTACATTTTGAAATGCTCCATGCAAAAATCCTTCCATAAATGGGTGAGCACTCCTTGTAGGTCTCTTTGTTGTCTGTAGCACCTTCAGAGATAAACCCACAGTGCACAAAGTCCTATCCATCAAAAACCAACTTCCAACTTCACACTCCCTTGTGAGCAATCCTGCCAGAATTTTCTGTAACAATTGTTACTGTTTACTTTGGGGATTTCATAGGAAACATAAGGTCACATCATCTGTGATGATCGTTCAGAAAGAGACCTGATGATTATCTGGTTATCTACTGTGTTGAGGACTCAACACTCATTTCTGTGGTCATTAAGTTGTTCCCACAGCACCATTCCCTGCACAGTGTGCTGGAAAACTAATGCATGATTACACTAAAGATGGTGTTGCAACTACCAGTCAAATTTCTGACTCAATCATCTCTACCATCTGACAATATTCACAGTACACAACCCGTCCCACATTGCCCTGATTCCATGATGTTACCGGCTGTCCACTATGTGTATTGTCTTCCAGCAGTTCATGGCAGTCCTTGAACATGTGACATTATTTCCAATACCTTGCATTGAGACAGTGCACATTTAATATGTACTGAACCATCTACAACATTTCCATCGACTATTTTCCCATTTTCTGATAAAAAGTTACACTAGCCCACTGCTTGATGTAAAACATTTCCCTGCTCCAAAACTCCCTCTGCACTCCTCTAGAGTCCATGTAATGTAACTACAACTGGCTGATTCTGTTGCATGTAGGGGGCACACATATCTTAAGTCACACATGGGCAAACTCCAGTCTTGTCTGTCATAATATTGTGTTCATTAAACTGGTAACAAATAAGAGCCAATACAACTCATCTTTTATTTCTGCAATTAAAAGAATTTTTACTTTGAATGTCATATCTATGAATGAACCAGATGTACAATAAAAATGCTGTTATAAAACAAAATCTAATCAACTTCAGTAGCGTCATCATCTCAATATAAAACAGAAAGAACTGCACATGGCCTCCACTAACTTCAGTATTGCTGTTCAATGGACTAAAATATTTTCAGTGCCCCGATTTACCATGCATTACTGAAGAAAAGGTGGAAAGTAACACCAGGAAATGATATGGGACAGACATGTGCACTTACCACACTGATACTGTGGACAGGACTTATGCACCATGGAAAGGCACACTTTCCTAGTAGGAACACACTGCTTGTCATCACTGCATGGGTTAGGGTCACATGGATCCTTATCAGAGCAACTTCCAAATTCAAAATCTGCATCCTTCAGTCCAGCACATCTGTCAAATATAATTATTCTGTTTAGATGCATACAGCTGTTGGAATTAAAAGCATCAGGTTTCAGATCCTCAAGGCTCTGACAAACATCAGTTTCCCATTGCATTAAGTGCTGTCTGCTAGGAAAAATACACAGACAGTAATAAATGCAATGGAATCTGGAGAATGTTAAGGAATAATGACTGTATGTTATGTCAGTGAAGTATAGTTTAGTTTCTGGAGATAGAGCAAATATTTTAAATAAAACTGCACTTACAAGGTCAACAGATATTTGTAACAGATAAACATTTGAAGTAACCTTTGTATTAATTTAGAAAAAAGTACGAAGACAATTCGTGGTTTCATTTTTTAACACCCTAAGAAAGTATTACTTTACATAGAAATGTTTTCTGTAATGTAAGTTGCACATATGAACTCTGTTCCAAACAATGTACTTACTATTCATGTTATTTGTTTATCTGACCTCAAAAAATTACTTATTATTTCCTGATGTCTCATGTCATTTCTTTGTATATGAAACAAATGCAGATCAAACAGACAACTGTGCAGCCAAAATAATATATAAATATGCTTCAAGGGTGCAATTCTACCATGGCTGTGACATTTTAAATGTAGCCATCACATATGAAAAGAAAGTACACAACAGCTTTCTGTTATAATGAGTGCTGGAGCTCTGTCAAAATAACATTATTCTTACAAATGTGAATGAAGCAAAAGCTGCCAGCCAGTTGGAATCACAACACTATATATGTAGTGCAATCCAAAAGTTCCTTAAATTTGAATTTTGCACGCGAATAGTTATGAGTACATCGAAATACCGCTAGGTGTCTCCCCACACATCCTTCTTGAATCAGTGTGGAAATTGGCATCGAGTTGAGTGGTTGGATTTATTGTTGGTGAACGTATTTCCATTGTTGTGTTTCCGTGAGTTTGCGGTTTTGCAATGGTTGACATGAGAGAGCAGTGTGTCTGTATAAAGTTTTGTTTTAAACTTGGGAAAACCTCTGCAGAAATGTACCAAATGTTGAAGCAAGCTTTTGGTGACAACAGTTTAGGACAGACACAAACTTACAACTGCTATAAGCGTTTCAAAAATGGCCGAACATTGACTGATGATGACGATCGTTCAGGACGGCCATCAACTGGCACCACACCAGAAAATGTCGCGAAAGTTAGGGATCTGATTCTGTAAGAACGTAGACTGACCACCCAAGACCTCTGTAACACCTTGGGACTAAGTTATGGTATATGTAAACGAATTTTGTCAGAGGAACTGAACATGAGGAGGATTGCGTCAAAGTTTGTGCCACGACTGCTGCAAAATGAACAGAAGTAGCATCGCTTGGAAGTCTGCAGGTAACTTCAACAACAGCTTCAAGAGGATCCAAACTTTCTTTCGAAGGTTGTCACTGGTGACAAAAGTTGGGTTTATGGCTATGACCCTGAAAACAAGCAGCAATCATCGCAATGGAAGAGCCCTTCTTCACCTTGGCCAAAAAAAGCTCGACAAGTCAAGAGCAACATTTAGTCCATATTGATCTGTTTTTTTTATATTGATGGGATTGTTCATAAGCAGTTCATCTCTCCTGGTCAGAGTCAATAAAGAGTTCTATCACGATGTTGTAAGGCATCTGCTGGAGGACATGAGGAGAAAACGTCCAAAGAAGTGGCGCATGAATAACTGGGCACTCCACCATGACAACACACGACAGCACACATCTTACATTGTGCAGGAATTTTTGGCTAAAACAAGATGGCAGTTGTTCCCCACCCACTGTACTCACCAGACTTAGCTCCATGCAACTTCTTTCTCGTCCCAAAGATGAAAATCAAGTTGAAGGGGCGAAGATTTGATACAGTTGAGGAAATTGAGGTGGAAACGCAGATGGTACTAAACGCCCTAACAAAGACTTCCAGGATGCATTTCAAGAGTGGCAGAAACACTGGGATCGGTGTATGCACTCCCAAGGGGACTACTTTGAAGGTGATGGTGCAGAATAACATCCAGGTAAGACATAACAGTTTTTATTATTATATTTTGGGAACTTTTGGATTGCACCACGTATTAGGACATACAGAACCCAAAATATACATTTTTTCATATACCCACAGAGATCTGAAAAATATTACAGGCATAAAATTCAATTTCCGCCCCAAATCAAACTTTCAAATATCACTTGGTCATATTCACCTAAATTTAAAACTTAAGAAGTGGAAGGTGTATTCAAATTTAGAGCACATATATAATGGAAAAGGTGTTTTATGCAATTTTGTAGGCAGTGTATTATCCAAAATTTCATTCATCTGAAAATGTTTAGTTTAGATCCCCTGTACAAAATTTCAGTGAAATCTGTAAGAGTTTTAGAGATGAAACACACAGATGGACACAGTGCCCCAATTTGCATCCATTCCATGCACCTTTTACAATAAACCAACAGTGAAAGTTGTATCACACGCTGAAATTATTTTACATAGATGATTTGTTTAATATTCCATTTGTTACATACACTTTTTAAAACCACTTGCATATGCCAGTTGTGATTCTCTTAAATATTTTGGAAAAAAGATATCTCTAAAACATGGAATACATTTTTATGACTCACAAATATATGCTCACACGCACATAGACAGAACTTCTGACAACAGGCTCACACAGGAGATGCATTTACCTGGCCAGGCATGAGCTGGGGTAGGTATTACCATTACGCCCACAGACTGGGACATGATGTGGTGGGCAGTTGCAAGGCAGACTGGTATATGCAGGGTCAAGGCCCCCCAGTGATGTTACTTCACACTGCTTCTTCCTGCATGTGATCTCGCCAGCATAACAGCTGCATATGTTGCAGTCTATGTAAAACCACATACCGTGCTCTGAAACATACACATTGGTACAGCAGCTGTAAACTTTCATTACTGGAACAGCCCTTATTTTGTGTTCTGTCACATGGACATAATCAAGTTAGGGCAGTATATGGTACTAATTTTATTCATACACAGACAACAATAGTTCATTTTTCTCTCAATGCTGTCAATTCTTTTGCTTTAGTTCAGTTTTGTGAGTGGCTAGTAAGTAAAAATAAAGTAAAGGTATCCCTGTAACAGGGCGTGCAGGCCCACAGGGTTGTGAGACGTTGAAGCTCTCGCATTTTCTAGACAATCGGCTCATAGATGTCAGTGAGGTTGTCAGCCTTACACAAGAATTCAAATTTATTAAAAATACTGTGCCCTTTTGGAGGCAACTGGATAAATAAATAATTGCAAACAATTTGAAAGAAATCAAACATTTCAGTCATTCCTTACACGTCACGTTATACTGACACCTATTATTGGCCATTCGTGTGTCTCTGCCTGGCCAACTATCCAGCAGTCTTGTGTCAGTCTTAATCTCTGATCGTCACATATTGATGACAATTGTTATGAAAGACCCATGCTATGATGCATGCATTTAGCCACAGTAACCTATATATATTACTTTCAGTATTAATGGGCCTCCATTGAAATGGAATATTTTATGCTATTTGCAAATTTCTGATACATTCACCAGTGGAACGTTTTGAGTATAAACACTCCTACATGGGCACTTATAAGCATCATCATTTTGGTACTGTTATTTTAAATCTTCTGCAAATATTCAGCAACACTCTCCTTCTGTTTCTTCTGACAGCCTGCCAATATGTAAAACATATTCTCTTCTAATTCCATATTTGGCCAGATACGAATAAAAACCACAATGCTCACCTAACTCCACTTCCTTCAGTGGTTTAAAATTATTAATCTGCTGAAAAAATTGTATGTTGTAATGGAACCTGATCACTATGAACACAGAGCTTGCCAATGGACCCTGTCCTAAGCCAGCTAAATCCAGAACACACCTTCACAATCCATTTGTATAATATAGCCTGTTCTTTAATATTAACCCCATATATATGCCTTAGATATATAGGTTTTAAGTGGTCTCTTCCCTGGAGGTCCTATCAAAATTCTATACTCATTTCTTACTTCCACCATCTGATGTAGCTGCTTACCAATTTTACGATTACCAAGCCAACATGAGTCCAGAGGGTAACATGGCATGGGTTGACAATGTTCAACAACTCCCTGTGCTGAACACTGGCATATTTTGAGGCAGCCCTTCTGTCCTGCTGCAAGGGGTATGCGCACATAGGAGCCCTGAGGGACGAGATACTGAGACACCTCTCCAAGTTTGCACCCTGAAAGTTATTATCACATCAATGTAATTTAAATGGAGGACACGGAAAGTGTACCACATATCCATTAGCAGGCAGGGCAGCCAGGGTTCCAGAAATAGAGATAACTATGCATTTCCAAAACACTAGGCAGAAACAAATACAGAAGTATCAGTTACTAAAAACAATCAGTTAATTTCAATTTTAAATGGAAAAATTTATGATGTGCTACTACTGAATACAGCACCAAAAAGAGGAACACATTCTCATTCTTTCAGAATAAAAACGAACCAAACTCTAACCCCAAATTCCTCCTTCAAATTAAACATACTTCCAATTTATGACATTCTTGTCACCTCACCTGGTGAACAATGGTAGGGTGGACAAGGTCTACCAGGAGCACAGTTTCTGTTAACAGAGCACACCTCACTGTTATTGCAAGGGTCACCCTTACAGGGTGAGGTGACCTCATCTTGTGGCTGCATATAGGGGTTGTCGCTAGGCTCAAGAAACGGGTGAAGTGAGATGCAAGGCATGTCAGAATTCTCCGGAGAAAGCCGGGAACAAAGAGATGCCGCATTTTGGCCTGCAGGCATGTGCGACCAGTCCATACATTGGCTCAGCAGCTCATAGCAATCCTCTCTGCAAGCAAATACTTAATGTTAGATACACAACAGTGATATTAAGTGACACTCGATGAGATAAAACCTGAGATACCCTTGTAGATTGCAGGCATATTGATATAGGTAAGATATTCTGTACTGGATATTAAACATATGAATTTTATGTGACACATACTAATATGAAAGCAAAAAACCTGTGGGGAAGAGGAAAAGTGGGTTGCTAGAAATAATATGGCAGAAAACCTGTGAGGTTATAGAGGCATGTGATGGTGTGTAGTCTGTCAGATGTTTACTGATGTTTCAGAGAAATGTACCAGCTCCATGTCAAAGGTTGCCCCTTGAGATTGAGGCTGTATGTTCTTCCAAAACGTCAGTAAACTTCTACTGGACTAAATGCATCACATCTTCATAGGCACCACAATGAGAACCTCAAATAAGGAAATGGAGATCAGCTGTTACTAGTTTCCATCTCAATTAATCTGTCACTAACATCATTGTAGATCATGCTATCTGAGCCCATTCTGGCACACAATATGTTGAGGACATACCAGCTGTTGCTGAGGAGCCTGAATGTCCAAGGAACAACAGGACCAGGACATCTCTCCTCTGTACAGGGATAACTGTTGTAGATGGAGGCCTGCCAGGAAGCCTGAATGTGGCATACCCAATGCTGCACTATCTTGCTTTGGGACGGTCATGTGAACCAGGGACTTCATATGAGTCAAAACCTCCATCAATCTGTTTATTATATGTATACCCCATCAGATCTGTCCATGAATATATGAGGGGATACTGGACCTGATTTTATAGCATAGGGATAAAAAAAAAGACGCAGATGCTGACATATGTTTCTTCCTTCAGCCCTGATGGAGAAAAGTTGCATTTTTGTGCACGTTTTTACAGTAGCTGACTCACTGTGAAATGGCTGATATTATGGGACAATATGTGTTTTGCATGAAACCTGGAGGCACAAAATTGCTACGTATGCTTTTGAAGATGAAAGTCTGCTAAACGTTCAAGTGGTTTGCTCGATCTAAAAAGGGAAGAATTTCTGTAAAAGATGATCCACATCCCAGGTATCTATCAACTTCCCACATTGCTGAAGCTATCTTCTGAGTCCAAGAAAGTACTCACAATAGCAGATACACAAGGAATCAATCGGGTGTTTCATTTCGGTGTTCTGAAATATCTAAGTAAGACAGTCAGTTGGGAGTTTCAGTTGGATGTCCTCAAGTATTTAAGGATATAGAGTTCAATAGGAACTGCCTTAAAGCTTAGCAACTACTGATGTTTCAACTTCCCACAACAAGAAGGATGAGGAACATTTTTCAGGAACAGCAAATGGGCATCCAAAATGTTACACAATAATTTAAACAGGATTCCGAAAGAAGGGTTATAGAACTGCTTCAGTAAGTCACAGGACCACTGGAATAATTATGTTCTTCAGGTAAAAAGGCAAAGCTGTCCCTGTCCTTAATTAATTAAGCACCATGCCATGAAAATATATGAGATAGTGGAGGTATAGCTCCACCATTCTTGACCTTGGCACAACTCGACCACTCTACCACGGGAGAAAGAGCCCCCAATATGGGGCTGTGTTGGTTCCAGAGCTGGTCAGGAGGCTGTGGAGTAGAAAAAAAATGTCTTGCCCCTTCCAGGAATAAAACCTGGGGCTTCTAGCCCACAGTCTCTCACTACATATGACCACCCTCATACACAACACACAGCACACCATCAACATATCTCCTTCCTAGGTACTGACTTCATGCAGTGGGCATCAGGGCACTCCATGACACTTACCTGCAGATTCTATTGGCATGAGTATGTCTGTGGCAAGGTTTAATCTGTAGAGCACATGCAACTGCCTTCCACATGTTGGGGGAACATCGTGAGATGTTCCGTACAGGCAGCTGCAGTCCAGGGAGCCCTAGGTAACCCTGCTGCTGCCACAGTGCCACATCATACCTAGCAGCATCATCAGCCTGCCGAGTGCAGCTACGGAACAGCTCTGTTGGTCTATTGTTGAAATTCGTGCAGTAACTCAGACCTTCACAGCCAAGCTCACAGGGCTCCTCAACTGGTCAAAAACACACAAAATTAGGGTTGGAACAAGCAAACTGAAAATTTAATCAATTTGGAAATGCAATATGTATGTATGGCAAAATGCCAGTCAGATAAACATACACTGGATTTTAGGTTCTAACAGCAGTGATTATGAAGAACTTTAGCTTCTGGGATATAATGCTGTGTAGTCCGTTGTAAGTCAACCGATGTTTTGGAGGATCATTTCACCTCAGTCTTCAGGGCAAAAGAGTAAGCAAAGCAAGAAACAAGTACTGAGCGGCAGCAAGCATGCTGTTTCCTTGTTTGGGTTACTCTTTGACCCTAAAGATACAGAGGCCATATAATCCTCTGAAACATCGGTTCTTCAAGTTCTTCAATTAAGCATACTCTTTCTGGGTGCGTCATCCAGTATATTTCATAGATTTGAATTAGATGAAGGAAATACTAAAATTATTAAACCAATTCCTACAGCAATCTTTCAAATGTAATAAATTTTACTTTAAAAACAATTTAAAATATTCATTCTAAATCATATCTTACCACTGCTGAGTAATAACAGAATACCAGGACAAAAAATAATACACATATATTCCAAACAGCAAACCTCAAATACTGCTGTGGTGGGTTTAAGTAGAATGGGTGCACCTTAAAACAAGCTGTTGCACTTAAACACAAGGTCATGAAGACAGAAGGGGATGATTTTTAACATGGTCCAATTTAAACAATGGTGTGACATATCACACACAGGTATCTCTGCAACCATCAGAATTCAGTTTAAAGGATGTGGATTGCAAAAACAATAAAATATGAAGTAAGTTTTGCATTGCTTGTAGCGTAGTGGTTGAGGAGCTATGCTACAAGCCGGAAGGTCGCCGGAAGGTCCCACTGAGGTCACTGGATTTTTTTTCAGTTGACCTAATCCTTCCAGCCGCACTAGGCCCTGGGTTTTACTCAGCCTCTAACAGAAATGAGTACCAGGAATTAGTTAAATAATTTTCCTGGGGAGTAATTCACAGCCGGCGCGTAGGACTGACAACCTTACCGCCATCTTTGAGCCGACTGTCTAGACAATGTGGGACCCTCAACGTCTCACAACCCTATGGGCCTTCACGGCCTGGTACAGGGATAGCTTTACTTTTTTTTTACTTTAATTGTGACTGTAGTTGTTATCAAAGAAAGCTGATTTCTATATTTTCTATATAAAAAGGTGAAACGTAAAGCTATCCCTGTAAGAGGCCGTGGAGGCCCATAGGGTTGTGAGACGTCAAGGCTCCCACGTTTTCTCTAGACAATCTGCCCATAGATAGTGGTAAGAATGTTAGCCTTACATGCTGGCCACCCCTTCACCCCCCCCCAGGTCATTTTGCTCATCTCTAAGTGAGACTTAGCTACCCTCAAAGTATGTGCTTAGTGCTTAGACACTTGGGTAAATCAGACAGAAGAAACCTCACAGTTGTTGTTCCCAATATTTGATCTGTAAGACTTCTGAAAGTCAAAATGCCTCATTATGGAGATAATTTGAATCACAGAGACATCAACATCCTGCCAGATATTAGGTTATGTGGTCTGTGACTGTGTGGTCTGCAGTTAACCTCATAAATTTAATTTCCAATATCAGTAGTCTTTTTTTATCTGATTTTTTTTAATTGTCCAGGCTTAACTTCTATATATTAACACAACTCTTGCCAAAGTTCTTTAAATGTCAAGTCTGGTATGTTTTACGCTAACATAATTTGAATTAAGGTACGTATGAAGATGTAAGGTATGGATATTTTATGTTTATTCTACATATGCAACAGGATGCAATGAATGTAGGTAGGTTTGGATACCTGACTTACTGCTAACTTTGCTTGTACAGAGTGTCCCAGGAGGAATGTGCCAGACTTCGGGAGTGTGTTCCTTATATTAAAGTATGCTGATATAACCCAAAACACTTATGTTGAAAGTTGAACGGTTACGGAGATAATGGCCAGAGAAGTGTGAAACTTTGACAGGTGTTACACACTTGTTGATTACCAAATACATATTAAAACTGGCAGGAATATGTGGTTTCTGTAATATTAATAATGTACATAACATCAAATTAACTTGTGAGTGACATGAAGACATTAAATTGAACTACAAAAAAACTCACACGCCATGCCATAGTTGTCGTTAGGGTTCCAAGCACTATACAAGACACACGAATTGCAAGCACTGACGTAACACGGCTGACTGCGCATTCTGGTATGCGAGTGTATGCAGCTAGTGTGAGCCATTATCAGCACACTCAAGGACAAACATCGATAGGACTTGTCAGCTGACAGGTAGAGTGCGTGGAACCGCCAGAAGACCACACTTTTCTCGGGCCATTATCTCTGTAACCGTTCAACTTTGGACATAGGTGTTTTGCGTTATATCAGCATACTTTAACATAAGGAATATCCTCCCAAAGTCTGGCACATTTCTCCTGGGACTCCCTGTATAAATATTTATGATTTTTGTGACATGTCCTTATTTATTCCACGTACAGATAAAATAGTTAAGGAAGTGACATCAGTAATTGAAAATACAGAAACCTGTTTCAATGAACATCCTGTCACAGAAAGTCAGTATGTGGATGTATACAGCACACACATTAATCACACTACCTTCATCGATGCAGTGGAAAAGACTATCTTCAGAAAGTTTTGACAGACACTCCCGATCAAATTCGTCCCATGATCTAGTCCACTCATTTGAGAATGTCTTCAGACATAGTCGCCTGCAGGTGGGACTCTCTGCCTTGGAGCAACAGTGCAGTTTTGCAGAATCCATGCCCATGCGATCTATTCGTGATACTTCGACTGTTGCTGGACCGGATGCTGACTCAGAACTCTGGAGGAAGCACTGCCACAATTTGTCCTGCAAATTACGATGGCAGGTGGTGACAGACTCAAACCCTTACACAACTCCATAACATTAAAACCTCTAAACATAAATTTGCATAAGGAAGAAATAAAACACAGTAAAAACCTTTACTTTCTGAAATGAAAACAAAACTTGGGAACACACTGAAACAATAAATGCCTGATAACTTTGAACAAGTTTATCAATCAAAATGTTTTTTTTTGTTTGGCTGTTCTATTGTTTTGTCCTGTGTTGTTTTGTTGTGTCATGTTCTGTACCATTCTGTTATATTTTACCTTTACAGGCTCACTTCTTCTAGAAAAGTAACAAAACAGTGGCCACAAGAACATTTTGGACTGATCAATCACTGTCTCTTCTCCTCACTAAACCCACAGGGGCAATTCCTCGTGGTGTAATGATGGTAGGAAATAGAAATTATCTCTGTTAACCTGAAATGTAATATTTGAATGGTGACATGTTGCAAACACATGAAGTTTTATTTAACTTGGAACACTTACATGAGGCAGTGGTGGACCGCAACCCCCTTCCTGCAAGCTGTCCACGATTTCCTGCCCAGTGGTCTTGATTCGCAAAATTCGACGACACGAATCCCTGCATTGTGTTTTGCCTGCCTTGTCACAGCAGTGCAGATCTACAAAAAAAATATATATTAATTTCTGTCATCACTGTCCTTGTGGTGTTGATACTTCAAGAATCAAACTGAGTTCTCATGGCATCAACTGACCAATTCTCTCAGCATGCTGTCCAGCAGGCCATGTCATAGCTCAAGTGCTCAGTCACTGGCTTCCCACCGCGGCGGCCTGGATTCGATCCCGGGTATGGTCAAGTGGGATTTGTGGTGGACAAAGTGGCGCTTGGGCAGGTTTCCTCTGAGTACTTCGGTTTCCCCTGCCAATCTTCATTCCACCAATTGCTCCACAATCACCCTCACCTATCATCTGGGGCTGGTACAATAGGCCAGAAGTGGCCGCAGTACAAGGGACTTAGTCACACCCCACTAGCAATAATAAAAAAAAAATATGTTGTCCAGTATAACAAAAGATGTCAATTTATATGTACTTCTTAGCATATCACTAACAGATCAGTTCTCCTTCTACAGCCAGCAATTTGCTAATAACAGGCCACAGATCGTACAGCCCCCCCCACACACACACACACACACACACACACACACACACACACAAAGTCAGAATTTCCAGTTCTGTTTCCCCATAATGGACCAGAAATTAGAGACATTCCTTCTATGATGAACTCAGTTAAATTTTTCTCATTCAGATTAAAATTTCATTTTTAAAAGTAAGAAAATTGTAGTAACTCCTCTTTTGGATTATCAGAGTTGAGCTTAGTAAACCTAGGGGTCACCTCGTGCTTACAATGTGCAGTCCCACACTGCGTGTGATCAGTACAGCAACCTCCAAAAGATTATAATCTAGTTTTGGTTCAACATTTTGATGAATTCACAAATGTTATTATTAGTATCTTCCATGTCTGTCCATCTGTCTATCTGCATGAAACAATTCAAGAAATGGATTTTCATCAAATTTCATACTAGGGAGTTTTACTGAAACTTGGTCAACATATTCAAATTCTGGTTGGGTGTGAATTTGTTGTCTGCTTCACTTGTATTGCCCCTACACTGTCTTTCTACAGGTCGTGAAACTGTTCCAGCACGAGCCAATTGTAAATACTGGACATTCTGCATGTTCTATGAAATGCCATTTGTCAATACATTCTTTCAGTGTACAGCAGTTTATTAATATAAGATGGTACTTGCACTTGTGGGGGTTGGTGGTCGGAGTGACACGAGTGAAGTTTTTGACACACTGCAGAACTTTGGGGCTCTGGTCGCTACATGACTCAGTGACAGCACTACGAGCCTCTTGACTTGGTGTCAGCTGAGATCTGAAGATGGCTCTGCAGGCTTGATGACACTCTGCAGTTTTTGCATTCCCACAGCATTCTTCACCGATCTGACATAAATGGCATAAAATCACTAATCATACAAGACAAAATAAAGCACAACCATGAGGATACTTACAGAAATAGGCTGTAGGGTGTGTGCTGGATGCATCTGTCTTGGAATAGGATCCAGTGGCAAGGAATTGTTTGACTAGCTTAGCATATATTAGCTTCTCAAGAAGCAATCTGTTCAGTGGAGTCAGATAATAAATTAACTGGTTAGTTAGAAATCAGTACTTGAACATGACACTTGTGAGACTGTCAAGGGTGCCACAACTCAGTGTAGGAACCTGAAATATTTTGTGGTAACACAGCTTTGAAAAAAATAGTTTTTCTTATGACAATATTTTTTCAAAGTGTAACAATACTAACTGGCAGATGTGTGAAATCTATATTTATGAACTTTCAGTTTTATGAGAATAACTAATATACTACTGGTACTAGGTATGTCCAGCTAGATCATAAATATAACAAATTCTGAATGACGTATTGTTTAATTGTCAATAATTACAAACATGATGACAATGTGAAACCATGATATTATATCTGGCATGTTAACGTAGTCAAGATCTCAACTAGTAAAAATCGCGTATAAAAAATGTATCACATAAGTTATTACTAATATAGTACTTCCTGCTGGTCTGACCATGTAGTTTAAAAATATGTGAAAGAATGCAGGTGTCATAAGCTGTTTTCCCCAACTTTTTGCTTATTTAAAATTAACTTCCTGGTAGGCCCCCAATTTTAACATGGTTATATACTAAAGCCTGCCATTAGACACCACAAATCCACCTGCTATTCTCATAACTATTTACATTAATGTTCATTTTAATAACATCCTCTCATCCTCTGATCTTCCCCTAATTTCACGACGAAAATTTTGCATACATTTGTTGTTTCTCGATCAGAGTTACTGAGGCGGACACAAAAATTCGTTCAACTTAACTCCCCAGGGCTTTTAACATGTAAATATGAATTCCTTACAAGGCAAATACAGAATATTACACGCATCCAAACAATTTCGTAAGAATAGGCACTCAGAATTAGTAATCCTTCGCAGTAATCACGTGTCAGGTATCGGTCACTATGTTCATACTGGATTTCTCGCGGTGTTTGCTGGATACATGAGGAACAGCTTCTATACACACTGCAAAATTCTGACACGCTTGAAAATAAAGGATGGGGAACTACGTGGTTATGTTTGCTTCTGCAAAGCATTCACATGGAGGCAGTGTAATGTCTCACCTCTTGTCGGTCGAGACAAGTAAAGAACGCCAGTTCGTCGCTCTGACGACAGCTCTGGACCAAGTCCTGTCTCGTGGCTGCCGTAACGCATGCGTGCTGACATTTCTCGGACTGGGGCAGAGGGCAGCAAGCCCGCCCTGACCAGCTCTCACCCCTACTGATCTCTGGAACAAGAAGCCATGAGAATCAGAACTGTCGATTCGGTTCGCATGAACTAGCTCTTCATTCACAAACCGATTTAACCAAGATTAACCTCTCACTCCCTTCTCAATCCACAAGTGGCCATTTTCCAAGAGGTTTCTCTAAGAAAAATTTATATGTAGGCCTTTTCACTGTTCTACATGCCTAGCCCATCGAACACCCTTAGGTTTGAGCACCCTTATTCAGTACTAGATGACCTATATAACTCTCTAAGTTCATCATTAGGTAATAGGTCCGCCCCAAACGGCGCACTTACGTGTTTCTGTTGTTAGGTCCAAATATTTTCATTGGTTTAACACTTGCAATTCACGTTCTTCCTTCGAAGACCACGATTTATAACCATACAAAACAACTTCTAGGAGGTTTTATGTATCTTAATATTCCGCCTTTTGAAATGTGTGCCTACACACACACAGCAATAAGGCGCGTATAATTTGCGAATCATTAAATTCTATGAAAGAATTTATTAATATTCAATTCAGCCTCTTACTGACTGTCCACGCGCGCTTCGTTGACTTCCAAGCAATGCTACAGTAAATCCTCTCTAATCCGGATTAATTGGGGGGGGGAGATCATCTGGATTAAGAGATAATTTGGACTAGTGAACCAAAAGGTAGCCCTAAAAGACAAAGGAAACTTATAACACAATTAATGCAAAATTCAATTATATAACTAGTGCTGATGAAAATAAATAAAAAATATAACAGTAGGGCCTTTATTTAAGAACTATAAAAAGACAATACATTTATTCATCGATAGAAAACTAAGGAGTTGTACTGTTTTTGAACAAAATAATGAAGGTTTGAAGAAACTGCCAAGTTTTGTCTGAGCAGATAAGTGACTCATCTGCCTTCCCAAATGTCATGTATCTTTTAAATTATGTACTCAAGCGTGAATCATCACTTTTAATTTTTCATATTTTGATCCGGATTAACTGCAACCGGATTGGCGGGGGTTCATTGGATCTGTATGTGTCCTGTCGCGTGTATTCCACTGCGGTGGGATTTTTAACCAATCAAGGAAAAGATGCCAACAATGTACAAAATAATAAATATCAACAATTATTACTATCGCCTTTCTCTTATTTTTAGTTTATTGGATTGGTCATTAATTTTTTACTTTAAACGCGATTAAGGATACACAATGCAGGCATCGAATTCTATTCGTTTTACGGACTTTTAATGCAGAATATATGGTAAAGTAAAGAAAAAAAAGTAAAGCTATCCCTGTAAGAGGCCGTGAAGGCCCATAGGGTTGTGAGACGTTAAGGGTCCCACATTACCTTGACAATCGGCTCAAAGATGGCGGTAAGGTTGTCAGCCTTACGCGCCGGCCGCGCTGTACTCCCCAGGAAAATGATTTAATTAATTCCTGGTACTCATTTCTGTTAGAGGCTACTTCCAGCTACGTTCTGTATGTTGAGGACAAATTATTTCACCAAATCTAATCTTACAGGTAACGTAGAAGATAGAACGTGTAAGGTAAGGTAAAGTTGTCCTTGAGCTTAACTAAATAAACACTACCCCTTGAAGGTGTATGTAGGAGTGGCTGTATAGATCCATATTTTCTTGACATTGGCACTAGCTGGAGGTGAGTGGTCAGCTTCACGCACCTGCGGCTTTACCCTCAGGGAAAGAGGCCCCAGGTACCCATTGTAAAGGAGGTCGGGTGGACCCCAGAATCGGTCTCGAAAACGTGAGGAAGAGAAAATTCTTGACCCTACCGGGAATCAAACTCCGACCCCCCCCCCGGCTGTCCAGCCCGTAGCTAGTAGCTATACCGACTACGCTATCCCGGCTCAACAGGTAGAGGAGGCTGTTAATCTAAAATGTCTGTCTTTATTTTATATTCTCTTCTGATGCCAGTCAGTTATCTTCTGTAAATACTGCCGTACAGACGGAGACAAATCTCCGAAGTCACGATCATCACCAAACACCAGAAACCGAATTCATAATAATAATCCAAGCCGGATAAAATCTGAACGCTTCTGCCCCGCCGTGTCTAGGTGCATTCAGAAGGCAGTTCGCTGCATTGAATGAGAAAGCACGGCGGATATTCTAAGCGGACATGTCACCTCTGGTCGCTACTATCAACAAAATCACAGTGTGGAATGGGGGGAGGGGGGTTATCCCTGCTGCTCACAGTCAAAGGGCTTAATAAATTGCACAGCTGGTTGTCTATATCCGACAGAGCTGCATGAGGTAAGAGAAATGGTCTATTGTCTTGGAGGAGAGGAGAAATCAACCTTCTCATCTCACATCCCCTGCTATTATGACACATAAAAACATCAGCCTAAACCGTCATGTAATACAGTTCTAATAACGAACAGGTCAGCCCATCTGTATCACTTCACATTACGTAATAACACTGACAGGGAATCGACCATCAGAGGACCGACAAGGAAACCTACAAGCGTAGTCTTACGTAAACCAGGCTTCACTATTAATCAGTATGGCTGAAAATCTTAGCTTTCCAACAACGTTTCGCGTCAGCATCCTATGTTGGATTTGAACATAATCTGTGAAAACGGTTTGTGGAATATATGGAAAAACCCAATTATGGCCTTATGTAAATCAGCCTTATTATGGACCAATGAGGCTCAAATTCGAAACGCCCGACAGATTTCAGCAGCAGTCTCCAAAATCGAATTTGAAGAATCCCTGTTCAGTGGTTCGGACACTGATACTACATTGAGACAGTCAAGAAGATGAACATAACCTCCATACAGGGTGTCACTTTCACTTTCATGAGAAAGTATTGCCATGTTGAAAAGAAATCCACGTCGATATTTTGATGGATTTACATATTTTTCTGGACCCCTGAATAAGCCTAACTTCAGGTAAGGGAGAAATACAGACGTATATACCGAGACTCGAGCTCCGTCCTCTTGAATTCAATGCCTATAACTTTAAAGACTGGCCTGCCACAATTCCAGCAGTTGAAATATCATCATTAAATAATTCAATGACCAAATAATTTTCACATACACATTTTGCTTCTTCTGCCGGTACGGAGGATTCTGCTTTAAGCGGTAAATATTTGACAATATTGGCCGTATCTGTAAAATAATGTTGCATCACATCTATGTATGGCGCTCCCATTGCTTTACGAGCCTTGCATCTCGTAAATACAGCATCCCACTGCGTAACTCATTGCTATCTAACATCTCCGGCAGCTACTTAGCCGCTGTCTCGCTCCACAGTCACGAAGCCAGGACTGGCCGTGTCACAAGGTCGCGAATACAGCCACCGCCTCCTCAGTCAGACACGCAGCCATCCAGCCGGAAGCCATTGCATTCGAAAGTCAGCCAGCCAGCCCATGCGGCCAGGCAATCCATCAGTCACACTAAACAGGACAGTCTGATGATATTCAGGACACGAGCCCGGAGGATGCCTGGCTGGCTATCTCGACTGGGGATTCTCGTTACTCTATCATGGACCCTTCCTTCCGCATTCTCTCCAATTCAAATGTTGCTGTCGCTCTAACACCCGATGAAAAATGCATGCCTAATCGACATATTTGGAAAAGCGCCGTTAAATACCCAAAGAATCAATCATTAATCAGTCGCAGAAACGAAAAATTAGTATGACAATCAGACAATCAGCCAGACAGTGGGTCAGTCGATAAGTACACGACGTAAACTGACGAATCAATGGGACAATTAGTTAAAGAATCAATCAGAAGCAGAGAAAGAGAGAGTCAATGGGCGTCGGTTGGAGAGGAGGACGTCAAGTCAAGGCTCCAATCAGATGAGACACCGAAACAGATATGGCAGTTCATTCTCTAATCTTGTGTCCTAAACTTCGGCTTTAACGTCAACCGTGTCTTAAACTTTGGATTTAACTCTAACCCTGTGTCTTAAACTTTGGATTTCACTCTAACCCTGTGTCTTAAACTTTGGCTTTAACTCTGATCCTGTTCTAAATTTTGGCTTTAACTCTAATCATGTGTCCTAAACTTTGGCTTTAACTCTAACCCTATCTCTTAAACTTTGGCTTTAACTCTGATCCTATCCTAAACTCTGATCCTGTTCTAAACTTTGGCTTTAACTCTAATCCTGTGTCCTAACCTTTGGCTTTAACTCTAACCCTGTGTCTTAAACTTTGGCTTTAACTCTGATCCTATCCTAAACTCTGATCCTGTCTTAAACTTTGGCTTTAACTCTAATCCTGTGTCCTAAACTTTGGCTTTAACTCTAACCCTGTCTTAAACTTTGGCTTTAACTCTGATCCTATCCTAATCTCTGATCTTGTCTTAAACTTTGGCTTTAACTCTAATCCTGTGTTCTAAACTTTGGTTTTAACTCCATTCCCGTGTCCCTAACTCTAATCATGTGTTCTAAACTTCGGATTTAACTCTAATCCTGTGTCCTACACTTTGGCTTTAAAACTTACTCGTATGTACAAAGGGTATCAAGGCGAAGACAAAAACATGTTAATTGCCCCTGAAGACATGTGATAAGCAAATGTTCTTCAAAAACAAGCAGTGACAATTTCACATATCCTATAAACCCTACAGCAGATTCTGCAATCATCACCCTATTAACAAACCTGGTTTGTTGCGAAACACTTAAGAGTGTTCATTTGAAGGACGCAAAGGTTTTATTGACCGGCTGCTGCAAAATAAAAATAAACATCTGTGCAATAAAAGAGCAAGGAATTACCGAGCAGAAACTTGAACACATACGGGCTTAGTTATAGCGCGTATCAAGATGATGATAGCCGGCGATCTTATGAAGTGTCGTATTTTAAAAAGACTTGACCATGAAAACGGCAACACACCCAGACTGAAGGAAAGTCGCGACGCTTCTTCACATCAGGGGACTAAAATATCTTGAAGATATTCTCATGATTCTTCAGCCGCCAAGCGATCCAAGTAAGTAAACTGTGTTGTTGCCTGAGTCAGTAACTGAACAAAATGAATGTTGTCTCGAAACTTATTTTTATTTCGCAGATTAACTATTAGCTTCTCGTGAAGGACTATTAACTCTTGAGACAGCAGCATCGTCATCTTAATTCTTCATGATCCTGTCTCCGCATTTCGCGAAAGGATGTAATGTTGAAACATGAACAGAAGAACACAGGAGACAGAAAAAAAGGGAATTTTATTCTGTTTTCTATTGCAGTTTTACTCGGTTTAATTGTGGATATACAGCCTTTATGTTTTAAGGAACTAAATGCATTTATAACCCGGAAAGTAATAAAATTTGGAGACAGAATCATTATTAGGTAACATGCCGTGGAGGCCCATAGGTTTGTGAGACGTCGAGACTCCCACATTTTGTAGACAATCGGCTCACAGATGGCGGTGATGTCAGTCTTACGCGCTGGCCGCCCTTAACTCCCAGGAAATGCCTGGTAGTCATTTCCGTTAGAGCCTGAGTCGACCCCAGGGCCATAGTAAGGCTTCATTTCATAAATTACAAAAATGCAGTGGTCTCGTCGGGAATCGAACCTGCCATCTTCCGGCTTGTAGCACAGTGCCTCAACCAACTATGCTACGCGTACCCCTAAGAACTAAGACAACTAAATGAAAACTGCAGTCATCTTATGAAATAAATACACTGTGGAATTGCATGTTACCGTTCACTTGACACTATTTTATTTTTCGTCTGGTTTCTACAAATACACTTTAAGATAAAACGTGTGTGCGCGCGCACCAACTTTAGCGGATAGAGAGTGTCGCGTGGTCAGCACAACGAATCCCCACGGCCGTTAATTTCGGTGTTCTGGACCGGAGCCGCTATTTCCTTGAAATCGCTCCTCAATTATCCTCACAAGGCTGAGTGGAGCCCGTTCCAGACCCACTGCTTCTCAGAAATATCTGGTAACGCCGGGAATCGAAACCGGACCTCTGGATCTGTAGCCAGGAACTCTGACCACTAGACCACAGAGGCGGTCGTACTAACTTCGCCGACAGACGGCGGTCGCTCGGTCGGTATAGTTCGCTTGCGGACTAAAACCATGGAGTTTGTTGTTTGTGTGTGTATGTATGTATATAATTGTAGCGGCCTCCGTAGTCTAGGGGTAATGTTCCCACCTCATGACTCAAGGTATGCGGGTTCAAACCCGGCGGAGGTCGTGGAATTTTTAAGGGCGGAAAAATTCAGGGAACAAGTCCTCCGGTCCCGTGTCGTAGATTTACGGCACGTAAAAGATCCTCATGNTGGAAGGCCGGGATGCAATCTTCAACAGAAGTAAGAGATTTTTCTCTTCATGACAACGTTCAGAACGGCTCAGGAGCCCACTCAGCCTCTTGCCCTATGAGTACCGCATTCTCTTTCCCTGGGGGTAAAGCGGCCAATGCGTGAAGCTGACCACACATCTCCATCTACTGCAGAGGTCAAGTATGGCGAAGCTATACCTCCACTCCTCCATACGGCTTCAGAGCGTGGTATTTAATTAGTTAAGCACGCGTATAACTTTACCTTATATAGGAACATAATAAATTAACACAAAGTTCTAACTAGATAATTCTCATGGGAAAGAAAATTAAGCTCTCCGGTGGCGCTGTCATTTATTTTACAGTATACACAAAATTTGTTATTTTTCAGTCGCCATACAACAACACTTCATGATAGGACTGCTATATTAAATATAATTTTAAATGCATGGCCTTCAGTTGTAAGCGAACACGAAGTTGAATTGCTGCTTAAACACACGGCATAACACCTGTTTCGTTCTAATAACGTGCCTATATGACAAGTCTTAGGATATTCCTGACTTCAAAGCGAAGAACCACTTTTAAGGATGTCATGTGACGCCTTGGAACTTTAGTTCAAGATCCAAACACGACAAGAAGCGCGCTGTTCCTTCCTTTGGAAAGCATCGTCCATATAATCTTGTTATTTTAATGGTGATCGCATCAAATAAACAAGCAACATTGCAAGGTCGTGCAGCCAGCATGCAATATGTTTCGGGTTTTATTATTACAGTCGTAACTACAGTGGCATTTGATGCTGCCACCGCTCAGACAACACTGTCCATCACGCAACTGCCATCTAGCGGGCCTACACTGAATTAATTGTCATTGTTTTCGCGACGGGTGTCTGTCAAGTATAATTAAGTCTAATGTCGCTATAAATCGACTTTCGGGTCTTAGCAGCGTCGCCTGTTCTAAAACCCTTTCAAACGGGCCGCGCCATTGCTCAAGCGGTTAGTCGCTTCCCACCGCGGCGGCCCGGGTTCGATCCCGGGTCTGGTCAAGTGGGATTTGTGGTGGACAAAGTGGCGATGGGGTAGGTTTTCTCCGAGTACTTCGGTTTCCCCTGCCAATCTTCATTCCACCAATTGCTCCACAATCACCCTCACCTATCATCTGGGGTTGGTACAGTAGGCCAGAAGTGACCGCAGTACAAGGAACTTAGTCCCACCCCACTAGAAATAAAAAAACCTTTCAAAATGTCAGCAACTGCAATGTCCAAGAACAAGCTTTTGTGATAACTGTGCAGAACTTTTTGTTATTATATTCGATGCAGCTGCTTTGGTATTTCCGTCCGTTAAAATATTTCAAACCCAAAATCCAGTCAAATTTAAAACTAACATAACCTATATTTTGGTAACGATATTTCGTGGGGATCGCGCATAACACATGTATTACCGTGCAATTTCTCATACTCACCCTCTAGCGTCTCATTCATGCATTGCCAGAAAGACACCTGAAACAAAAGGACATCATTAGTGATCCACCCCGAAATATTCTGAAGATGGGATAAGGCAGGGCACAGGAAGCACTGAGGTACAGCTACGTGCAGTCTTATCTTCGGAATGACATACATTTGAGTCATAATTTCACGCTTGGGCCACCTTTATCACCATAGATGGAACGCTGTGTGGGTTCTCGAACCAACCTGTTGGAGAAGAGACAGTTAAATGCTCTCAGAGGAATGAATCCTTGATGGTTCAGTCAGTAGTCAGTCAATCTACCGATTGAGCAGTCGAAGCCCGAAACAGGAAGAGGAAGTATATTGTAGTAAATATGGGTTATTTCAATCGACTGTTAACTTGTGCCGAAAGGTAAAGCTGTCCTCTAGCTTCTGCACAAATAGCTTTCCCACTGATCTGAGTCCTTCTTGAGAAGCCACTACTCGCTCGGGTACTCAGAAGAGTTTCCCAGCATCTTATGATATCCGAAGGTTCATTGCCGTGTTCACAAGAGCCCTCCACTGGTCCCTATCCGGAGTCAGATGAATCCATTCCATTCTCTATATTATCCTCCCACCTACGTTTAGGTCTTCCTAGTGGTCTCCTTCCTTCTTGCTTTCCCACCAAAGCCTTATATGAATTCGTCTTCTCCCCAAGCGTGCTACATGCTCTACCCACTGCATTCTCCTTGCATAATTCATCTTAATGAATTTACTAGTAAAGAAATTTTTATAGCTTTTGTACTTAATTTCATTAAATGTAGCAACAAATTAAGCGTACAGCTGCCAGTATGTGGTTCATAATTCGAGATTTTGGAAGTTATTACAGGTCCTAAGGATTGCAACCAATAGGCATCAACGTTAATTCTTTAGTACAATCCACACTGCTTAACAACCCCTTGGTACTTGGCATTACGAGCCACCAGACCGTGATTCAACTAAACCGGAACATGTAGCTAGAATAGTTCGAAATAAACCAACCCTGAAAATAGAGGTAGCATGTTCCTGCAAATCCAACAGTGTCGTAACCCAGAAAACCACTTGTTTGTTAGACAGCAAATTTACACACATTGATACGAAACATAGTGAGTACATCCGTGATGCGAAAGTCACGTGTGTGCGACTCTTCGTTTGATCCCAGAAGGATGGACGAGCAAGAATCCCACAGATTTACAACGCTATTTGTGGTGTCCAGTACATCCGCTGTACGTATCGCGGTACTGGTCTGCACCCCTGCAAACAATGATGATGCCCAATCCAATTAGCACGGAGCTGCTGTCCTATCAGTCATCTGCCTAGCACGGTACGATCGACAGAGCTGTCTTAGTTAACGAGCTGTGACATCAAGCATTGCAGCCGGTCGCACGCTGCGTTAGGGGACTGGACGTGGGCTGGACGACGGCACCAAGGACTGACAGGTTCTAGGATCCCATTCAATGGGTGCACCTCGGCCACTTCCCATGACAGTAATGTGGACGCAGCGTGAAGCTGAGGACTTCTCTCCATCCCCAGTACCAGGGATAACAATGAAATTTCGTGGCTTGAGGACAACACTGTTTAACATTTGGCTATTCGTTGATCCGCTAGATTGCGTCCGGTTTTCACTTCTCTGGATTTCGCAGCTTTTTCTTTTTTGCATGGGGAGACTGTCAGCCTTGCGTCAAACCCCAACCTGGAGGACCAGGTGGGTCCCTGTATTTGCGTTCCCCAGTGACAGCGTGGAGAAGAGGAATGCTTATATAGGATACTGATGGGAAAGCAACTGGGAAGACCAAGGCGTAGGTGGGTGGACAATTTTAAAATGGATCTTAGAGAGATAGGATGGGATGGTATAGATTGGGTTGATCTGGCTCAGGATGGGGACTAGTGGAGGGCTCTTGTGAATACAGTAATGTACCTTTATGTTCCATAAAATGCTGGGAAATTCTTGAGTAGTTGCAGATTTGGCTTCTCCTCAAGAAGGGCTCAGCTCCATGAGTGAGTGAGTGACAGGAGGGCCCAGATATACCCTCCGGCACCGGGTCCCCCTTTCGCCGCCTTCTACGACTTGGGTGGCTACGATGTGGGGACTGTAACCTGCCTCCACACGGAGATGATTGATTCGTTCTTAGGTCAATTAGGAACGCTCTCTCAACCGCAGACACCATAACGTAGAACGAAACAGAAAGATGATCACAAGCGGTGAGCGGGTAAAGATGGAAGGAGACGGTCACTGTCTATTTGAAAGCATGATCGCGACAATCGTTCGGACAGACAGCGGAACCCCACGGATAACGTCAGTCGGAATACTGGGGTTTGGAAGAGATGCCCCCCTAACACTTCAGGAGAGTCAGTGCTCGCTCACTTACCCAGAGCAAACAGCAGTCCGTCTGCAGGCTACAGCAATCTGAACTGCCTCAACCAACGTACGATATTATACTCTGATGAGCATTTTGAATTTTGGTTGCTATCTTCTGTGGAATTTTCAAGCGCTAGACCGCCTCTGTGGTCTAGTGGTCTAGTGGTCAGAGTTCCTGGTTACAGATCCAGAGGTCCGAGTTCGATTCCCGACGCTACCAGATTTTCTGAGAAATGGTGGGCCTGGAACGCGGTCCACTCAGCCTCGTGGGGATAACCGAGGAGCTATTTCAAGGAAATAGCGACTCCGGCCTAGAAAACAGAGATCCGTTGCGCTGACAACGCGACACCCTCTATCAGCTAAACTTGGCACTAACTTCACCGAAAAGCAGCGGTGGCTCGGTCGGTATAGTTCGCTTGCGGACTACAGGCCACGGAGTTTAACTCAATAACAAAATATACTTAATTCTTATTACAGAACTTGGCAACTTCCCCGAGCCATCATCACTTTGTATGCCGGTACGCCTATCATCACAAGAAGTACCCGTGACAACAGTGCATCTACTCTCGCCCTACACAACCACTCTTGTGAACACATTACTACTGCTCCTGGAACACTGCACTGAAACTGCCATCATAACCCGTGAGTGTAACATATGCAGATGGCTTCGTGCGTCGGCGCGTCATCATGCAGGGCCAGCGAGGTACAGCCAGCATCCATTTGCAGATGGCAAAAGAGCGTTCAAACACGTGTCTAGTACAAAACTGAAACACGTGAAAGTTCATATTATAGTGTTCTGGGCTGTGACATCAAGCAGGACACCAACACATTTCGGAGGGCCATACTGCTTCCAGCTTCAGGGCAGAAAGGTCTGCTCCGCCGAAACATTGATAGAAGAGTAAGGCATAGCTCAGGGGGTTAGTCGTCATTTCCCACGGCGGCGACCAGGATTCGAGCCCGGGTCAGGTCATGTGGGATTTGTGTGGGCAAAATGCCAATGGGGCAGGTTTTCTCCGAGTACTTCGGTTTCCCCTGCCACTTCGCATTCCACCGATTGCTCCACAATTATCATCATCTAGGGCTGGTCTCTTGAGCTTGCCCGGATTCGAAATCCGATCCCTCGGCCGTCCAACCCGTAGCCAGTCGCTATACCGACTGAGCTATCCCGGATCACTGTACAAGATACATCGTTACTCAGCCACGTTCTCGCGTATTAATACATTTGTTTTTCGTATTTTGCTGTAAACTTTTTTCATTATTTCGTCTATTTTACCGCGTTTCGAGGAGGGAGACTGCAGCCACATCAATGTACTTTCCTTTGTTTCCAACTTGGGGCTGTGTTATTTCCGTCGCTTCAAGTGAATGTTTTATTGCTTCTTAAGAGGCTAAACATCACTTAAAAAAGGCGATGCAGTAGATGGGCTCATTTGATAACCGTGACAATTATGAAGCTTTGCTGTCAGCAGGCTTACGCTCAGCGGGCCTCCTTCATGCTGCAGACTGAAGTAGGGGCTTATCGTTTCACTTCTGACATTTCGATCGAAGGAATGCTAAAAACTCAACAGGGCCTCATGAAATTTGTTTAGGGTCCACATCGTCATCAAGACCGGCTCTGGGGCTCACCCAGCCTCCTATCCCATGGGTAACAGGGACTATTTCCCTGGAAGTAAAGCGGCTGGAGCGTACGGTGAACTGCATGTACCAGTAAAATGTAAAAATTATTTTTTTTTTAATTCGCTTAGTGGGGGCTGGAGTCCAACTGGGTCCATTCGGTACGGCGGTCACTGACTGGCCTATTGTACCTACCCCAGATGATTATGATGGAGAATTTGGTGGAATGAAGAAACCAAAGTACTCGGAGATAACCCGCCGCAGCGTGACTTTGTCCACCACAAATCCCACTTGACCAGACCCGGGATCGAACCTGGGCAGCCTCGGTGGGACGCCAGCGACTAACCGCTTGAGCTATGGCGCGGCCCTCAGGTAAAAGTTACTTACATTAATGTTAATCATAACATGTTTCGACCCCTACTGGGTCATCATCAGGGTTGTATACTTAGAATATATCTATATTTTCCTTCATATTTGACCATACGATTATGTGATTACGTAGTGAACCTCTGGTTTGTTCTTCGGCTCTAAGCTGTATTGGTATAAAATTAAATTAAATTGAAGTGAAGTTAACTGAAAATTAATTTAACATTAATTCACATTAAAGTTAAAACAGTACTACACCCTAATGTGCATGGGTTCGTTTAGAATGACACACAAAAGGATACAACACGTAAAGAATGTTCATACCAGGAGCCCATGCCTAACTGCAGCGGTGTGTGTGGCTCCTGATAAGATTGTTGTGGGAAGCTTCCACGGAGGGTGCTCCCATACTATTTGCACATCCTCACATATCTGGAGATATTGACGGTTCTTTTGAACGTGTAGATAATGTCGTAAAGTGCAAAATCAGAAAATATACTGCTTTAAGTAGAGTGCGGGTTAGTAAAGCATCAGCTGTTACCTCCACCTTACCCACTACCTCCTTGCGCACTACACGACACAGAACTCCCACGAAATTTCTCCAAGCCCGAACTGCCGACAAGAACTCCCTCATGTACTATATCTCCCATATTTTGAATCCTGATATATCTGACGTTCCCTGTGTCCTCTGTTATTTCTGTCCGTGAAATGACGTCACCAGACTGGTCCGTGTCCCACAGTTTATAAAACTGTCAGCAACACATATGTGACGCCTCACACACTTTGATCTCCGGTCCCTATTTGTACGGACGTGCTAGGGTTCTCTCTCTCCACATCTCAATAGCGGAAGGGAGTAAGCCTATGTAAATACATTCTAAAAAAAATACCTTTGTGGAATATAAAACAAGCGCGTTATATGCCTATGAGCCTATTGCTGAAAAATATAATATCCTCGTATACGACATTACGTTACCGTCCCTTCGTAGCTGTTAGCCTTTTATGGCTCAACTAATTACAGATAATTAATGACAGGGACATTTCTGTAAATCTCAGAAGACATAAAACTTTGTCCAAAGGACAAAGTCCTTCTTGAAGCTCTAATAATTAACCGGCCGCTGAAGATTTTCCCAGCCTTTTATAGTATGCAAAGGTTCATCACCGTATTCACAAAGGCCTCTCCTTCTCCTTCCTCGTGGTTTCCAATTCGTCGTCAGACATCCTCATTCCAATCTAAGCTATAGGCTTATTTCCTGGGCAGTTCACAAACTGTAACGTAAAGAAGATAAAAATTTCCCTATGCTTAATTAATTGATCCCGAAGCCACTGAGACATATGGAGGACTGTGTGCGTATAACGCCACTACTCTGAACCTCGGCACTATATGCAGGTCAGTGGTCAGCTTCACACCACTGCCGCTTTACATCCACTGAAGTCTCCGGTACCCAATGGAGAAGAGGCTGGGTGGGCCCCAGAGGCGGTCTGCACGCTGTGGAGAGAGAACAATCTCTTGCCCCTGCCGGGAATCGAACATCAATTCCTAGGCCATCAAGCCTACAGCGCGTCGGTATACCGACTGAGATACCGCTGAACACATTAAGGAGCAACAAGACAACTAGGATGTGTTCTTTTGTTCAACGGAGAGGAGCGTTTAGGGACCTGAAGTGTCGACATGACATCCGTCTAAATATCCATAAGGGCTCATCTTCTATTTCTTCTTTACTGGCGCTACAACCCTGTGTGGGTCTTATTATTATTATTATTATTAGAGGGGGTGGGTTTCACCATGCACTTAGACCAGTTATTGGTCCATTGTGCGTCCCCCTTTAATTTCTACTGTCGCCATACCCCACCGGTACTGGTGCGTGTTATCAGCCCCGTTCAGCCAACGAGGTCGGCCCTCGGTACCTGATATTTCCCGCATCTACCAGAGGCATTGGAAACTACTTGGGCGGGAAATGTGTTGCCTAATTTTGCTCAGAGGTCTCCCTAGAGACATGAGTATCTTTTACGTGCCGTAAATCTACGGCACGGGACCCACGGCTTAAAGTCCCTCCCGGAGGACTTGTTCCCTGAATTCTTTCGCCCTTAAAAAATTCCACGACCTCCGCGGGGTTTGAACCCGCGTACCTTGAGTCATGAGGTGGGAACGTTACGCCTAGACTACGGAGGCCGCTTGTGTGGTTTCGTAACAGTAAACTGTTCCGGGTTGAGGTCGTTAGCCACGCGCCAAAACCCCTACCCGGAGGACCAGGGACTGCATTTAAACTGGCACCTACTCTTTGCCCTGTCTGATATGGATGGCCCTACCAGGAGCTTAAGCTGCCGTCAACATAGCTCTCCGAGTCACCGGGTCTCGCAAACCTGCTCTCCACGGTATATAAAGCGGTAGTCCTCGCGGAGGACCTCTGTTAAGTTCACTGGCACTGCACAATCTCAGGCTTCACTTGCTCCTGTTCTGTGTGTCGACACTCAGTACTGGTAGCTACGATACAAGCTTAGATGACCAAGGTGACGGACGCTATGTCCACCACATCTGCTTCTCGGTCAGCAAACGGAGGCCTTCTGCAGACACGGAGTCGCCACGGTTGGGTTGCGTCTTGTGCCGGTCACCTGTCAGCCAAAATACGACAGAATGACATAGCCTGCCATCAACAGAACCGTGTGAATGATTTATTACAATTTCATGATACACAGTGATTGCGCAATCACGGTGACTCGAACACTGCTGTTTCGTGCGTAAAAGGTCTATGTCAGGAAGAAACGTAAAGCTGACTGTCGGTTTGTTTCATCCATTATTAACTACGCTAAATAAATAATATTAGCACCATTATTGTTTGGGGTTCTTACAGCGGTGGTTGTGAAGACTTTTATCTTCTGGGATAAAACGCCGTGCAGTCCGTTAAAAGTCTGCCACTTGCTTTCACGTTGGTTTCTTGCTCGGCTTATTCTTCTACCCTAAGTATGGAGGCAACATGTTTCTCCGAAACGTCGGTTGACTACACGGCGTTATATCCCAGGAGACATAACTCTTTAATGTTAGCACTGGTTGCAGTTTGTGTATATATGCCTATATGTTAAAACTGGTTACTTTACTGCTGCGGAAGTTACCATGCCATACAGTGACGAGGCTACAGATACTAAGCACTCTACAGATCGAACTACGCTGAACTGAAACCTATCAAGCGGTCGCTCGATGCGAGAACTCAAAATAATTTGGTAATATTTTGAAAATTTCCATGGAAGATGTAAGAAAACCAAACGGCAAATGAAGCATAAACGTTCTCACGACAGCTGTGTATCTTTGTTAACAGTTAGCTTGTAAAATTTCTTTGTTTATTCTTCTCTTTCTGTGTCGTGTCTCGATTATTACTATATTAACGTTATTAATAAATCATAAAGGGTTCTGACGATGGCGTATGACACTCGGAGTTATTGGGTTTTTGGACTCTGTCCAATGCTTGAGGTTAGCTCTTTCTAAGGGACCCGACAGATTAGATGCCTACCCCCCACCTGAGGACCGAAACAGATCCAGGTTCCTAAACGTCGTGTTCTCTAAAATTACTGGGTGTTTGGACTTTGACCATTGTCCGGTATTCTAGAAACTAGAAAACACAGCGTTTCGGAAACTGGATCTGTTTCCGTTCTCAGGTAAGGGGGGAAGACATTTATGCTGTTGGGTCGCTTAGAAACATCTAACCTCTATCACTGGAAATTTTTAGATTTTTGGACGCTATCTAGGCACCCAAAAGAGGTGTTTTCCTCCTCACTTGAGGATGAAAACAGATCCATTTACAGACACGTCGTGTTTTCTAGTTTCTAGAATACCGGACGATGGACAAAGTCCAAAACTCCAGTAATTCTGATTATTGCACACCATTGTCAGAACCCTCTCGAATCTAGCTGTTCTCTCTGCTTCTTCAGAATGCCAGACGATGGGCAAAGTTCAAAAACCCAGCAATTCTGGTTACTGACTGATCACTGTCATTTATAGATTAGAGTGTGGTTAGGTAGACGGCACCCCCAAAATCTGTACCCCATCAGCTG